GTTGTGCTCCCTGCTTCTCCAGGGCTGTCTGCCAGCAGCCACTGCACACCAGTGTCCCTGTCAACTCCTCCCATGCACATGTGCCTTTTAGGAAGGATTTAGGAATGTGGGATTGACTGATCTAGCTGCCTGGCACACCAGTGGGTGCTGCTGCAGCTGGAATTGCATCAGTGGTTTCACCAGCCCTGTGCTGGGTGCCAGTCACAACATTCCTGCTGCGTTCCCAGCCATCAGACACATTCCCCAGGCTGGGAAACCCACCATGGCTTTGAGTGAGAAGTGAGTCATCCCCAGGGAGCTGCAGGGCTGCCATCTCTGGGGGCACGGCTCCACCAGCCCCTTGGAGAGCAGGGAAGGTGGCTGGTGGCCAGCCCAGCCTCTCTTCCCTCTCCACCTCTGCGCTCATCAGCCACTGCCCAGTTCAGCTCAGGAATGAGTTCAATGCACCCAGGAACATTTCCCAGAACTCATTCAACTGTATCCCACAGTGATCGACAGTAACAAGTGACAGAACAAGAGGAGATTCAGATGGGATATTAGGGAAAATTCCTTCCTTGAAAGGGTTCTCCAGCCCCATCACAGGCTGCCCAGGGGAGTGGTGGAGTCATCATTGCTGGAGGGATTTAAATCTGTGTAGACGTGGCACCTGAGGATTTTGCTTAGTGGTGGCCTTGGCAGTGCTGGGGAACAGCTGGCTCGAGGGTCCTGGAGGGTTTTCCCACCTAAATGATTCCAAGATTCTTTGCACATACTTTTGTGGGAACAAGGCTGGTGGCTCTGGTGCCACAGGTACCTCTCCACCCACTGTGCTGCCTCTACTCCCTCTGCTTTTTACCTTCCCTGGATGTTCAGACTCAAAGGTGTTTAATTTCTGTCAGACTACCCAGAGCAGCCTAAATACTTTTGGGAATGCTGGCCTCTGTGTGGTTGGCTTTTCCTGTTAAACAGAAGCTCTACAGGTGGTGGCAGACAGGATGGATTTTTACCTGTAGCAAGAGGAATGAGCTGCATTATTTTCTATCCTATGAGGATTTGCTAGGCCAGCCACAACAAGCACTTTGATTGCAAATGTTTGTCCCAGGCATGGAAATGGAAACACTCCAGACTTCCCTTTTGTTCCCTTCAGATGGTTGTTTGCTCAGTGATTTTGTTCTGAATCAGGGAAGATATTTGAACTAATAATGGTGCTTTTGGCTGGCATTCAGATACATGCATTCTATATATAAAATATGTGTTTATATATAAAAGAAACACGCAGTAGTTTATACATATGTATAAATACATATATAAAATACATGTAGGAAGTAATTCCAGACATGGGAGGCAGGAGTTCTGTGGGAGCAGAGCCAGGAGCCCCTGTGGCACCCACTGGAGCTCCGACCACACTGGAATATTTACTGTTCCCTGCTTCCCCTGCACTGAACCTTGGCGACCAATTACCCCGTATTAAATTGTGTTTGGTCATGGCAGTGATTATACAGTATCCAGGCAACCTGGACATAATCTAATTTAACACCCAACACGGATTTGCCCCGCTGCTGTTCTCCTTTGTTTTGCTGGAAGGGAGTGAGAAGTGAGCAGGGACACCCTGGGGATGGCCCAGGGCACGGCAGGGCTCGGTGCCAGTGCCACCAGCTGGGTGCTGCCAGTGTCCAGCACGCTGCTGGGGCAGCACCGAGTGGCTCAGGGGTTGATGGAGCTGCTGATGGTGAGGCAGTGCTGAGCACAGAGCTTCCCCTGGCCAGGGGCTCTGCCTGTCCCACAGCCCCAGGCTGATCCCCCCTGATCCCCGTGGGAAGCACCGTGTGCTGCCAGGAGAAGGACCAGCCCGGAGTCCCCAGGCCACTGACACCTGGCCCGCTGTGAGCAGCAGTGAATGGAAGGGGTTCTGCACATTCCTCCATTAGCTGTTGCTTTCTCCTTGCTGGAAGTGACTCCTGTGAGGTGGGGAGCAGAAAAAGGAGCCATAGAAATGAATGGTAGTGCAGTTCTCTCAGAGTGCATCAAGGGCCGGAAAGAAACAGCAGGTTAAAAGGAAAATACAGAGAATGCTTGGAAAACTTCTAAAGAGCAGCTCAGGAATGGCACTGACAGTCCCTGCCGAGCAGCCCCGGCATTAAGCCCACTTTGGGCTGAGCACACCCATCTTTAGAAACTGCGGCGTTATTTCCTAGTACAAAGGATGATGAAGAGCTGTAATTTAGAGTGAATTATCCTGTGGGTAATGGATGGGGAATTTGAAGGATGTGAAAGGTGAATCATGTTTTGGAGCACGGCTGTGGTGACCTGGTACAGGGATGGCTATTGCTGGAAAAGTACCCGGGGTGCAGAGCAGGAGTTGGTGCAGCCCCGAGGTTTGTTCCAGAAAGGAGGAGATTGCACAGCTGCAGAAGAGCTTCAGAGGCAAGGCAGAGTCCCTGGGGAGGGGTGGGCAGCACCCTGTGGGTGGGTGGGCAGGCCCTGGGCAGGCCCGTGGCTGCTGCTGTGGGACACGTCCTGCCTGGCAAGCCATTAATAGCCCAGTCTGAAATAATTGCCAGGACCACGCTCAGCTGCCTCCCTGTAATGAGCTGATGACAGTGCAATTTATTAGAGTGATGTAGGACATGGTAACGGTAATGAGAAATGGAGGCACCTAATTTTGCGCGACTTAGATCAATTCGGTTGTTTTTTTATAAATGAACATTGTTTTACTAACCACAGAAGATCATTAAAATTATTATTTTATTAATGCTTTTGAAAGCCATTTGGACTGCAGCTGCGTTTTTCCATATCCAATTAAGAGCATGCAAATGTGTGTCTGAAATGCAATTTTGCAGTGCAAAAATGGGATTTGTGAGCGATGTGGGTTTGAATCCCCATATAAGTATTATTTAGTATATATTCTTTCTTATCAGACTTGTTCTGCCTTTCTTACTGCTCCATGAGGTTGTGACTCCCTAAGGAGAGTTTATTTCCCCTCCCAGCTCGTCAGTGCTGGCATGGCCATGAGCAGCATGGTGAGCTCTTGGCTGTGGTGAGGATGAGGATGGGGATGGGGAGAAGCTCTGTGCCTGCCCAGGGGTGGGGATGGCCAGCCTGGCTGGCTGTCACCCCTGGTGAGGCTGTCACACCTGGTGAGGCTGTCACCCTTTGGTGAGGCTGTCACCCTTTGGTGAGGCTGTCACACCTGGTGAGGCTGTCACCCCTGGTGAGGCTGTCACACCTGGTGAGGCTGTCACCTCTGGTGAGGCTGTCACACCTGGTGAGGCTGTCACCCCTGGTGAGGCTGTCACCCCTGGTGAGGCTGTCACCCCTGGTGAGGCTGTCACCCCTGGTGAGGCTGTCACACCTGGTGAGGCTGTCACCTCTGGTGAGGCTGTCACACCTGGTGAGGCTGTCACACCTGGTGAGGCTGTCACCTCTGTGGCAGAGCCCTCCTGCCCAGGCATTTACTGCCACCAGGGATTCCTGCAGGCTGTGATGGAATATTCAGAGCTTCCTGGCAGTGGGGGAGTTACGGTAGCAGGGACGTCCCACCAGCTCCCGAGGGCTTTGGCCAGGACCTCCCCACTCACTCTGAGCCTGGATCCCAAGCACAGGCTCAGCGAGGGGACAGCTCTGCCTGGTCCCCGGGGTGGAATGTGAGGCTTCTTGCCCAGGCAGTGAGGAGGGCTGATGTTGCTGCTGGGGGAGCTAAGCCAGCAGCCCTGAGCCCCCCTTGTGATGAGGCCCCTGTCTGCTGCCGGAGGAGCTGTGTGTAGGGATGAGTTCTTTGCTGGCTCAGGTGAGATTTGGATGGAAGAGGATGGAAGAACCTTTTCTGTTTAGCCAGCCTGGACTTGCAGTGTGCTGGAATATGCCGACCTTGCACACGAATGTCTTGACCCCAAGATCAATGGTGGAAACTCAGTAAATTTTCTGGTCAGTCCAGCATGTGAGTCTGCTGCATTTGTCCAGGGAAACAGGAGAGAAAGTGAAAGAAAAGACACTAAAACTCCCTCAGGCTACAACTGTGTGAGCACACAGCCTGAAGCCACCACATTTCCTGGCTGAAGAGGTCAGGAGCAAACCACAGGAAAGACTCCTGGGGCCACAGGGCTGCAGTGCAGGTCACGGGCACACAGGTGTCCCTGTGTCCCAGCAGTGCCAGGGGGCACACAGGTGAGGAGTCTGTGTGTCCCAGCAGTGCCAGGGGGCACAGTGAGCTCCATCCTTCCTGGAGAGCCGAGCACCTGCAGCCCAGCATGGCGAGGGGCACCTGCCTGTGCCCTGTTGCTGTGTGCCCTCGGGGTGAAGCAGAGCAGAGGAGTGCCCCATCAGGGCTGCTCTGTGCCTCTAGGGCCAGGTGCCAGCTGGAGCTGCTCCAGGGAGACCCCTCAAACACCATAAGGCAGGTGCCACATCCTCAGCATGAGCTGCTTCACTTTGCTGAGCTGGTCTGTGCCCTCTCGTAAGCTGAAAGAGATGGAGGGGGTGAGGAGGAAGGCTTGGGTGTCCTTGGGTGCCCATCTTGGGGGGCCCCTGTGCTATGGAGAAGGGAACCCCTGGGGATCTGGGGGCAAAGCCCCATCCTGGCCTCCCAGCCAGCCTGGATGGGGCTGACCTCTGCTGCTGGAATGGCTGGGAAGGAATTGGCCTTTGGAACATATGAGGTCACTCACTGAGCTGGAGAGCAGCATGTGTCAGAGGTCCAACGATTTGTTTTCAGAAGGGTTTTAAGCATTAATGATTCAAGATGTTTTCCTGGGAGTGGTTTGCAGCATGAGGCTCAGTGGCTGGCGTGGGGTTGAGGTTTTAGGGGATTAGTCAATTGATGGAGGCTGAAAGGTCCCCAGGAACACAACAGTTAAATTTGTACTTTTCCACATGGCTGAGCCTTCAAGGAGCTCACCAGGAGCGTGAAAAATGTAAACAGCCTTGTAAGCCTTGTGCCAGCCACGAGGCAGGGAAGGCAGGGAGGGGGTTCCCTGTGGATTAGTTCCATCACCTACTTCATTTTCTTTCTCTTTTTTCCCCAGAGTTGCAGATAATCACAAGCAGAACCTGATGACTGTTGCTAATCTGGGTGTGGTGTTTGGGCCGACGCTGCTTCGACCTCAAGAGGAAACAGTGGCTGCCATTATGGACATCAAATTCCAGAACATTGTGATTGAAATTTTAATAGAGAACCACGAGAAGGTAATGGCTTCACTTGCTTCTTTCATGTCAGTGGTTTATGGAAAGGAACTGGTCTCTCTTTGCCCATGGCAGCCCCTCTCCCAGCCCCCCTCTCCCCATGTGGCAGCACGGTGGGGCTGTGCTGGGGAGGGGGCAGCTGGCACCTCGTTCTTGGGCTGTGGTTGTGTAACCAGTGCTGCTGGTGGCCAGCCTTGTTTATGGCCATCCCCGTGTGAGTCAGCACGGCCGTGTCTCCATCACAGAGATTCCCTTTCTCCCCCCTTCCCGCTGGTTAATGGGACTTTGTCCTTGGTGTGGAGAGAGGAGTGCTAAAGCAAACCAGTGAGATGCACACCTCAGCTGGCTCCTGCTTTGCTGACTAAATCCAGGTTTACCAAAGTACTGGCTTTATCCACAGTGTTGATCTGAATCCTGCTGTGTTTGTTGGCCACAGATGCTGGGGTCTGTCAGTGGAGCAGTGGTGGCTCAGTGGGGCTGAGGTCCTGGCCATCCCTCCATGGCTGCATGTGCTAAAAATTGCCATTTTCTTCTAAATGCAGCCAGTTCCCTGATTATGATCTTTTGTTAGTCTGGTTTGGATTGGAAAGGAGCAATGGATTTGTGCATTTGGGCAGCGAAGGCAGAAGTAGAAACCAGCTTGTCCTGGCTGGGGTGCCATCGTGGCTCTAAGTCCACATCCAGTTCTGTCTTGGGCAGAGAGCTGTGCCAACATGTGCTTTTCCTGTTGGGAAACCTGGCCATGCCAGTTGTCTGTCTGGCAGTGGCAGGGAGCAGGAAAGACACTGAGGAATGGTTTAATGGACTCCCAGCAATGGAGAGAGACTTTGAGAGAGCTGGTCTGGAGGGGTCACTGCCCTTCTCTGAGCCTGTGGGGTCTAGAAAAGGAGCAGTACATAACCAAACATCAGCAACCAGCGAGTCTGCTGCCCTTTGGGTTCGTGCAGTTTTCAGATTTCATCCCCTTGAGAAAAATGCGATTACTCAGTTTTCTGACAGCTGTAGCTGGAAGTTGCAAAGACTTTCCCAAGCTGGTCTGCAGCCGTGGGAGCGTGGGCGCCGGGGTCACGCACTGGGGGCACAGGGGGGACACTGCTGGTCTCTCTGGGCTGCTCAGCATCACCTGCACCCCCAAAACCTCACAGTGTGCCAGAGGGTTCTTCACAGCTTGCAGTGTGCATCCTGGGTGAAAAAACAGGAGTGCACACAGGGTGGGAACGTGGGATTTAGGAATCTGTCCCCAAAATGTCGCCCTGCCGAGTGCACGTCTTCCTCAGAGGCTGCGCTGCGGCGCGGTGCAGCCCAGGCAGGTGGGCAGCCGTCCCGTTCCACGGGGTGATGCCAAAGAACAGCTTGTTTATTGTTTTTAACAGATATTTAACACGGTGCCAGAGGCTCCGGCGTCGAACTCGCAGCTGCTGTTATCGCGCAAGAAGAGCACGGAGGCGAAGCCGCCCTCGTGCAGCGAGCGGCCGCTGACGCTCTTCCACACGGCCCAGCCCAGCGAGAAGCGTGAGTGCCCCGCCAGCCCTGCAGCTCTGCCAGCGTGCCTGGGGACTGGCACTGCCATGC